TTATTCCCATTCGTATAACCACCACGTGGTTGCATTCGATTATTGTTATTATAATTCATTGTTGATATGAATCGTTGGATAAGTTGAGATGAAATGGATCAAATTAGAATAATAGAATAAGTCAATAATTTGATGCTTGACATGTTAATAGAAGTAAATCAATCGAAAAACAAATTAACTTATATTCTTTTGGATACAAGCCAATTTGCTAGTCTCAACTTTTGCTTTTCAGCAACCGATCAAGTATCAACAGATATGCAAGTTTAATTGATGTGCTTTTGAGAAGTAATTAATAAGAGAAATGCAGAGAGTTTGATTTCGCCGACGCGTTTCGTGTTATTTATTAAAATTTAAACACTCATCAGGGCTCTGCATAAATAAGCACAAAATCGAAAAATCATATACGAGTACAAAGAAAAAAGAAAAAGGAAAAAACTGGGAAACAAGAAAAATTGAATGGAACATTATGGATCACTATGAAAATGAGAACTTGCCAGATACACATACATAGATAGTGTATTAAATATTTTCGGGTAATTGGCTACATGCCAAATGATATGTTGAGACCATTCACCGAACCAAATCTATATGCAATTCGGCAGTAAATCGAGAAATGGTATTTTGGAATTGATTTTAGTCTCACGATTGGGCTAGTAAATGACATAAAAATAAATCGATTGAATTCAAATTCAACGTTTTTTGTAGTACAATAAGAAATTCGGCAATTAAAGTACGGAATTGAATTAATAAAGAATTTTTTGAACAGATAAAACAAAATCATTTATCAGATTGAATGTTGGCTTGACAAATGCTAATAAAAAGCAAATGGTACTGCAATTTGAAATCTTGGAATCAAGCCAAAGCATAGTATACGCATTTTTATCGATTAAAAACACTTAATCGAAAGTCAAAATTTTTGGAATCGATCCAATTCAAATGATATTCACATTTGGAATCGATTTTTGTTACAATTAAATCATTTGAAAAATAAATTTGTGACTGTTCTAATAATGCGTTGAATGTATGGCAAATCGGGTTTTCGTAAAGGAAGATGTAATTGTCTCAATAAAAAAATCGTGGTATCGATCTAATAATAAATTTAAGCTGGAAATTCAATCATTTAAACAGTTGGCAAAATGCCAAGTGAACAAGTAGGTACCAATGGCCAGTCATTGGAATTGATCTAATTGCATTGATTCAATAATTTTCATTATCGGCTATTTTGTTGAACATTCTTCGTCTCTAGATAAATACTTTGAGTTTTGGAAAAGATTTCTAATATCATTCTTTGGATCTTCGAATAAGATTTGAAGGATGAAATTGTTTAGATATATCAAATTGAAAAATCGACGATCTGTAACAGTTTGCAAAATTTCAAATGGCCAAGTCAGTGTTCAAAATTGTAGATAACTTATTTCAATTGTAGAACACAACTAAACAGTCATAATTGCCACCATAGATTGTATCAAACTGAAGTGACGGAATTTTGAAATTTATCATTGTCGAGTATTTGTGAGACGTTTTTGCAAATTATCGACGTTTCTTGTTCCCAAAACTGGAGTAATTTCATTAATTGGCGACGAGCCAAAATATTTATTCCATAGTGTATGAAACTTGGTAGGGAATGTTTGCATGTTTATACAATAAGTAAAGTGAACAAACATTGTTTTACCATAATCAACTGGTGTTATTTCTTGAATGGGAGATTGAATAATTCTATTGCGTATTAAAGCGTAATTGGTGACGGTAAGTATTTCATGAATGTCAAATTTGAAAAGGACATTTTTGAATTGTTCATCAATGAGGTCACCAGGATATTTATTTAATAGCAAGGCCATTCGTATTGATTCTCTTTCATTCAAATATGCTTCAAATGTAGAACAATAGCGAATAGCTCTCAGTAGCATGGTAAATGGTATATTCTTTTTCATATGGAATGGATGAACACTATTAAATGGTAGATAATAAGGTTCGTGTGCTGGTTTGTGATAGACTGAAGTGAATAAATGACCATCTTTGTTTTCTATATGTAAATCTAAACAATCGGCCTTGAAACTAATATTGGCAGACAAATGTATATTTGAATCAAATTGGTTCCATCGATCGACTTGTTTCATTAGATGTCGAACAGGCCAATTAATAGCAAGGAAGATATCATCAATGTATCGTAGATAGAGACCACCACTGTTGTTGACTTGTTTGACAATCTCTCGTTCATAGAAGAACATGTAACAATTGGCAATGGTAAGAGTAAGTGGAGAACCCATAGCTCCGCCACGAATTTGATGATAGAATTGATCTTCATATGAGAAGTAATTATTTTGCATAACAAATCGACTCAATCGAATAATTGTTTCAACTTTTAAACCGTCAACTTGTTTTAATTTGAGATGATCTAACATTTTTCGCAATGAGAGTACTCCTTCCACTTGTGGTACCATTGTATAAAGATCAGTAACATCAGCTGTACATAGTAGAGTATCTTGACGTATATTAGTTCTTGACCATTCTTGTAGTTTTTTGACTAATTCGAAGCCAGATGTAACATTTGTTTCTATAGCCATTTGATTAAACAGAGGTCGAAGAATATCATCAAGAAACTTCGAGATTTTAATCGTTGGATGTTTAAGACCGGCAATAATTGGACGTAGAGGAGTACCAGGCTTGTGTGCTTTTGGTAAGTAATATAAGTGCGCCAATTCAACTTCATTTGGGTTAATAGATAGTATTTCATATTGTTTCTGTGTAACCCATTTTGCAAGACGTAAATGTAATAAATATTGATTGGTTCGTTGAATTAAATCAGGTAATGGATCGTGAGTACCAAGACATTGATAAGCATTGGTTTTAGTCATATATTCTTTAGATCTTTTTCGATAATCTTCAAGTTTTCCCAAATGAAATACTTTGGATTTATCGGTCTTCCTTAATACTACATTGGCCAGTCTAAATTTATGTTTTAATCGTTTGACTAATCGACTATAGTTAGGCTTTTTTGAAGACCGATTTCTTCTTATTTGAGGTTGACTTGAAATAATCATATCATCTGGAATATCGAGAACATTGTGTTGATGTTGTTGTTGTTGTTGTTGTTGTGATTGATTTAACCGAGGATTTGACTTGACAGGAATATTATGTAAATTTTGAAGCATAATATCTAATTCAGCAATGAATTGATGGACTGGACGACCGGGGTTCACTTTCTTTTCATGAAATCGACTTTCAATTTTCCTTTGGAGTGTAGCCAACTCAGTAAGACGTCGCCGAGATGCTGTTTTTGGATCATTATAGATAAATCGAGGGCCTAATTTCAGTAGTTGATATTCATCCTCGGTTAGTTTCACTTGTGGTGCTTCATTGATTACTGTTGGAGCAAGAAATCCTCGCCCAACGATCGAGTTAGAGTCGGGGCGGTGACAATTTCTTCTTGATTGTTCGATTCGCTGCCCTCGACTCGCTGCTCGTCTAAAAAATAGATCGACTGATCAGCTTCTAAGTTGAAACGCTTTTCACGTAATTCATTGTAGTGCTTGAATGCTGCAAAACCAGGTTCACAATCGAATCCATCATCATTTTCTTGTGGAAAACCATTCATAATTTGTGTTATTTGATTTGTTAATAATTCGTGTTCTCGAGTACATGTTTGAACATAGAGAGTCATTGCTTGTGTACGAAATTCTTTTGTTAATTGACGCATTTGATTATATAAACCTTGTGCTTCTTCTTGACTTAGGATTGACTCATCAAGTTTGAATGAAAAATCGACTTTTGAGATAAACTTTGGTGGTAGATCATATTCAACACGTTTTACAGCAGTACGATAATTTTTATTCTTTGTAGACCATGTTTTCATTTTGGGTTTCATTGCCAGATGAATATTCCACTGCAGAGGTGTCGCTATTTGTTCGAAATCTTCTAAAGCTTTGAATTCTTCCATTTGTGCTCTAGCCAATTTAATTTTGGTTTCAGCCATTTTTTTGACATGTTGTGTACAATGTTGGAGATAATTCAATATCGATCTTTCCAGTCGATCGACATTATCACGAGCACGATTATTGTTAGTCGTTGACGTTGATGATGATGTGGTAGTTGGCGCAGTGCCAACTAGTGTATGATTCCAATAAGTAGATAATTGAATTTGCATGTTAGAAATTGCTGCACTTGCTTGAGCAATTTTAACTGATAATTGATTGATTTTCTTTTGAACAAATCGAGTACAAGTCTCATCATCACGTTTTTTGGTTCGTTGTACGACTTCTTTTGCCCAATGTTTATTTTCTGTGCCCATGTTCAAGTAAACTTGCCAAACTTGTAATTCATAATTGTATCGAATCCATTCATCGTAGATCGAAATTGTAGCTAAGACATAAGCTTGATTACCACGGCCACTGATAGTTATTGATGATTTGTCTTGCATATGTCGCATGATTCGTTCAGGTTCTAGATAAAGTCGTTGTTTCTTCTTTTTCATTGTATTTTGTTTCGAATTATTATTTAATGGTACTGTAACAGCAGCATTATCATTTTGATCGCCATAGTTTGATTCCATATCAGTAAGATCATCTTGTTGATTGAATACAGCAAATCGATTATTATTGTACATCCTATTTCGATCTTGCTGTTGGCGATTGCGACGTTGGCGGCGTCTATATGATGATGTTGTCGATTGGCCTTTTCGATTTTGTTGACCATTTTGTCGCTGTTGCTGCTGTTGTTTTTGATTTCCATTATTCACAATAAATGGTTGAGTTGTATTATTTGGCATTGTTGTAAAATTTTGACGTTGTGGCAATGCATTCACTGGTGTGACAGGTCTCGAAGTAGTTTCTGGATCAGAATTCAATAAATTGAAATCTTCAGGAAGATTTTGAGCATTTGGTGATGCATCACGTATTCCTGCTGGCATAAAATCATTTAATCTTATTTGTCTTGGTCGATTTTTTCTTTGTTGTCTTGGTACAGAGCTATTTCTGGAATTGCCATTGAACATTCTTGGTGGTCGACTAACAAAATCATATCCACCATTATCATAACCATCATTGATATTATTATTATATCTTTGACGATTGTAATAAGTATTTCGACGATAATTTCGATTGAAATTGCCATTTGGATTGTTGAAGTTTCGATTTTGATTGCGATAAAAATAGTCATTATTCCCATTCGTATAACCACGACGTGGTTGCATTCGATTATTGTTATTATAATTCATTGTTGATATGAATCGTTGGATAAGTTGAGATGAAATGGATCAAATTAGAATAATAGAATAAGTCAATAATTTGATGCTTGAAATGTTAATAGAAGTAAATCAATCGAAAAACAAATTAACTTATATTCTTTTGGATACAAGCCAATTTGCTAGTCTCAACTTTTGCTTTTCAGCAATCGATCAAGTATCAACAGATATGTAAGTTTAATTGATGTGCTTTTGAAAAGTAATTAATAAGAGAAATGCAGAGAGTTTGATTTCGCCGACGCGTTTCGTGTTATTTATTAAAATTTAAACACTCATCAGGGCTCTGCATAGATAAGCACAAATTCGAAAAATCATGTATGAGTACAAAAAAAGAAAAAAGAAAAAAGAAAAAAGAAAAACTGGGAAACAAGAAAAGGTAGGTGAACAAAACAAGAAAAATTGAAAGGGACATTATGGATCACTAAGAAAATGAGAACTTGCCCGATACATATACATAGATAGTGTATTTAATATCTTCGGGTAATTGGTCACATGCCAACTGATATAATGAGATCTTTCACCTAACCAAATTTTCATGCAATTCAGCAGTAAATCGAGAAATGGTATTTTGGAATTGTGCCAAGAATGATGTTTGATAGATCGACTGTTTTAGTCTCACGATTTGTCTAGTAAATGACATAAAAATAAATCGATTAAATTCAAATTGAACGATCTTGTAATACAATAAGAAATTCGGCAATTAAAGTATGAAGTTGAATTAATAATGAATTTTGTGAACTGATAGAACAAAATCATTTATTAGATTGAATGCTGGCTTGTCAAATGCTAACAAAAAACAAATGGTACTGCAATTTGGAATCTTGGAATCAAACCAAAGCATAATATACAAATTTTAATCGATTAAAAACACTTGATTGAGATTGATACATAATACATCAGTCGTATTTTCACGTTTGAATTTGTTTCGTTCCATTGGCGCAATTGAATTTTGAAATGAAGAACGTTTCACGTTAATCAAATGAAACACAATGATAACACAGTTGAAATTTTGGAATCGATCCAATTCAAATGATAACACAGTTGAAATTTTGGAATCGATCCAATTCAAATGATAACACAGTTGAAATTTTGGAATCGATCCAATTCAAATGATAACACAGTTGAAATTTTGGAATCGATCCAATTCAAATGATATTCACATTTGGAATCGATTTCTGTTACAATTAAATCATTTGAAAAATGAATTTGTGACTGTACTAATATAATTAGTCTGACAAAACAAATTTTGAGAATTGATCTAATAAATCAATTGTTGACATTGATCCGTAAACGTTCTTGTATATCATCTTCTATCAATTTTTGTTTGTCCCTACCATAGTTGCCACCATAAATTGTATCAAACTGAAGTGGAGGAATTTTGAAATTTATCATTGTCGAGTATTTGTGAGACGTCTTTGCAAATTATCGACGTTTCTTGTTCCCAAAACTGGAGTAATTTCATTAATTGGCGACGAGCCAAAATATTTATTCCATAGTGTATGAAACTTGGTAGGGAATGTTTGCATGTTTATACAATAAGTAAAGTGAACAAACATTGTTTT